CTCCTCCTCCTCCTCCTCCTCCTCGTAATTGGACATTGCTTTTAGGACCTTAGACACTCTGTTAGTTCAGTTGGTATCATGCTGAACTACGGAGCTGAAGGCCCTGGTTCAAATCCCCACTTGGTGTTCTTGAGCTCCTTTAGTCATCTAAGTCGTGTCTATGGATGTTGAAGAATTTACAAGAAAACTAAATCAAGATCTATCAATGCTAGTCAGTGGGTGGTTGGTAGGCACTCTGGTGTGGTATGCTCCTTCTTTCCTTTCAGATATCTGTCATCCTTGTCTCTCTTCCTTCTTTCTTGTGTATGTTACTCTTTTGTAACACTTCTAATCTTCGGCACTTATATGACCTAATTGTATTGCAAATGCGGTAAAACTCTTTACTAAAAATAAGAAACAATGCTAATCATGTTTTAGATTTATGGGCTTACAATGAATCTGGAGTATGGGTTGAGTTTTTTAAATAGTCATTAGTAACCGAAATAGGTCGCTTTTAAGCACAAAGGGTCTATCCCAATAACTTCTGTTTTGAGAAAATCAAAGTTAAAGTTTTTGGATCCTTATTCAGTCTCTTTAAAAGGCAAGGAAAGTTTTCTCTATAACCAAGCAAAATATGTACACACCAATGAAACCAAACTTCTCTTATATATAAAGGGCAGTGCCCACTTTTGGTGTAGGTCAAGTTTTCTGGATATCCCTGAAATCTGAGTTAGCCCGCTTATCCTTAAAAGTGACCTATACATACTGTTCTCTACCATAATTTTGTTACTCATGCCCTAATGTCTTTGTTCACAGGTGTGGCCAAGTGGCAGTGTCTCAGCACCGGCTGGTTCAAATTTGGACCAGACTTGTCCGACTGTGTGTCTGTTTGGCTGGATGCCCAGCTGAAAAGTGTACGTATGCTAAGCTCATTGGGAATATTATCAATCAGTGCTCGCCATCCTGGATGGTTATATCCCACTAGTGGCGATTTGGTAATTTTGATGGGCGATGGGGATCACCGGGGTCGTGACAGGTGTATTTAATGTCCTTCTTAAAAAAATGTGGAGGTGGGCGGGTATGAAAATGATTTCCTCTTAAATGTGGCTAAAGTAAGCACTGGCTATAAAATGGTTGACAAGCCCTGATATGGATCATAATAGGCCTATTATCATTTTATAATGTATTATTATATGTGTGTATGTGTAAATAATATTATGATTGATAAAAAATATATTACTTGATATATATATATATATATATATATATATATATATATATATATATATATATATATATATATATATATATATATATATATATATATATATATCTTTTATAATTATATTGTGTAATGATAAATATGATCATTACCAGGATAGTAAAAGATATTTTGAGAGCATCCAAGCGGAAAAATGAGAGGCCATCCATGATCAAATTTAGCATTTGAAGAAGAAGAACTTGAGTTTCCCATCATCGAAAAAAAAATGCTACAACACTTCTAATCTTTGGCACTTATATTAAGTTATGTGACCTATATGTGTTTAAGTGCTTTAAAACTCCTACCTAATCTCTAAAATGAACAAAGCTGGTCATCTGTAGATTTTTGAAATTGTCTTTCACTCCTATTATTCTCACCTCTTCCTCGACACAGGTGGAGTCTGAGACGCCGGTTAATGAAGCTGCAGCTGAGCTGAGTGAAAGCGTCAAGTCCCGACCCATGACCTCCGGTGACCTTAAACTGGCCGCTACCAAAATGTTGCCCACACTGGGGAAAGGGTTACAGCGGGACATGGGGGTGATCCCGCCCATGCTACGCAAGAGGAGGATGAAGAAGTTTAAGAAGGTTGGTAACATGCTGCTGGTAAAAAGTGTTAGTATGGGTTCAACGCCCCTGTCAACACTATAAGGTTATTTAACTACTCTTTCCCCTTCGGAAAAGTGAAGGAAACTGTAAAGTCAATGGGGGATGATATCCCATAAGGAAAAGTGTCTTCTTCTCGGTCGCATCACAATTGAAGTCCGATATCTGTCATATATTGGGCCGTCCTGCTCAGTTCATCTATAGGCCCGTATAGCTTCTCTTGTAGTGTCAGTGAGGTTGGCCACGTTTCCCGTCTCAGGGCCCTGTGTATCCTGCAGTGCTGAAGGATGTGTTCTACAGTTTGGTCCGCCTCTCCACACTGGCATTTTGGTGATTGTTGGAAAAGTGTAAAAATGAGGACTTGATCGATTTAAAGATAAGGATGGGAAAGTATAAAAGGGATGATATCCCATAAAAGATAAGGTTAGGAAAGGTTTTGAAGGATGATATCCCATAGAAGATAAAGACTGGAAAGTATAAAAGAGATGATATCTCACAGACGATAAGGATGGGGAAAATATAAATGTAATATCCCGTTGAACATAAGGACAGGAAAGTATAGATATGAGGGATGATTCCCATAAAAGATAAGGATGGGAAAGTAAATGAGCAATAGGGTCACATAAAGACGAAGATGGGAAAATTTAAAAGGGCTGTATTTGAGGCAGCGGAGCAATTTTTATCAAATTTTTTTTTTTTTGGCCTAACACCACTGTTGTTCAATGAAGAACACATTTCTGGGTGCGTTTTACAGAAAAACGTTGATTAAAGGCACGCAAAAAAATGCAAGTTTTCAGTTTCCACGGACTATCAAGCTGTGGAAATAGCCAAACTCTGGCAGCCATTGTCTCGCTAATTCTACCTTTGAAACCAGGCAACCTCACTTTCTTCAGTCTCAAATATCTCGACTTCTGATCAAGATAGATATATGCATTTATTTTTACCAATAGCAAGACAAATGAACAAGCTTTAGAATGACACCAATAATTCTACATGTCCAAAAATTGCCGAGTGCCTGATTCCACAGCGTCTTGACACATAATATCCTCTGTGACGAGTAGGATGACCATGCTTTGTGTTCTCCCCTCCAGGATGTGATGAACACAGGGAGCCATCTCTTGTCAGAAGACAATCAGGAGTCGTGGCAAGGTTTGTCTCGCCAAGACCGCGTCTGGTCGGCAACATCTCTGCTCCTCTCCATGGAGGACACAGGGTTCCAGTCCGCTGCCGTTATGGATCTGGGTGCTTCCGAAGTGACGGTAGATGAGAATATAGGTCAGTGCAGGCTCTGTGCTCGTGATTTACTAAATACCTAGGTGATTTTTTAACTCGACCAGCCTCCTGAATGCTCAGCCACAGTCAAATCTGTTCTTATTACCTAGTCCAAGACTATCGTCTGTACAAACTGCCAATTCCCACTTCACCTGACGTATTTTCAATTCTTCATAATGATACTGTCCACCACATTTGCCTGTCAAAGACAACCCTTTGTTTTCCTCGACAATGTGCATCCATCTTAAACAATTTCAACTATATTTTACAAATTAAAAAGCGTTGTCTTTCCGCTGTTACGCTTTGCTTCTGCAATCGGACCTCAATGAAAAATAATTCTTCCCTCGATTCATTCAAACACATTTTAAACTGTGTGTTTAAATTGGGTTTCTTTCATAAGCTCTAAATTTTGAAAGAAGACTACTGTAACAGTCAACCTTCCCAATCTCTCCCCCCCCCCTCCCCCCCCCTCCTTTTCCACAAAACCACGAACTTGAAATCTATAGGGCCTACCATAGACACAAGGAGTGTGAAGTTAGAAACAGTGCATTTATTAGTTTTTGTATTTGTAATTTTTTTTAAAAGTGGCAGTGGTTTCAATAAACTAAACACTCGAAGCTTTGAAAAATATAATAGTTGGGCCTATTACTATTACCATACTAACATAGTTGTGAAATGTATAGCGTATGCTGTAAAGTGTGTCTCTACGAGATGTATTTGCATTTATAATTATCATCATATCATCCTCATCGTTATTACCAACATTATTATTATTATTATTATTATTATTATTATTATTATTATTATTTAAATAAAGCCTAGAAGTCATCAGAATTTTGACCCTGTGGTCAAAGATGAGACAACTCAAATTAAAATCGGATGAGGAATATGTTGATACTGAGTTAATTCCCCTGCTCCGTGGTACAAGTGCAAAGGTCTAGGCGATCATAAATCAGGCAGCGCAGCCCAAGAACTACACACCTTGCTTGTGGGCTGACACACCGGCCGCTCAGGCTTCGGCCCACAGCAAGCAGTGACCTTCGTAATGATAATAATGATTACAACGGCCACGGCTAGGCGGTCTTTCTCCCTCTCTCTCTCTCTCTCTCTCTCTCTCTCTCTCTCTCTCTCTCTCTCTCTCAATGGTTTAGCTTCCCTGTGTTTGTGTTCAAACTAACGGACATGTAAAAAATTATTCTAGACAGACAAAAGCGATGGAAAGACAGAAAGTTGACTTGAGTTGAGTTACAGTTTTACGGAAATGGAGGGCACACACTGATATGTTTTGACACCTTTTCATAGGATAAAATGTTTGGTAAGCTAGCAGTCCATGCCCGACATTCTGTTTCATCCAAAGGAAATCCATACAAGGTCACTTTTTCTGCACCTTTCTGACTGTCATAGCCAGTTTTGCATCCACCAACTGAGCATTTTCTTCCCATTGTTGTTCTTATTCCTTCAGTTTATTTTGAAGGTGTCAGTCACAGTCCAACAGAGTCATAACCACACATGATGAAAGCAATAAATAGGCCTAGAAGAGAAGCATGTAAGCACTGTGAAAGAACAGCAGATATTAAACAAAGCAGGTCGGGAAAAACACAAAGGAGCTCCCCCATAATTATGATCCGTATACTTTTCCCTACTTAACAAGGGTGGGCCCCTAGACGCTCAGAGTCTAGATATATAGATTTATATCTACATGGTCCTTTTAGTCTATTGTTTGTGTTACAAACTAATCTAAATCTAAAAGCAGATCTAGGGATAGGATGGAGAGTTCGTTTTTAGTGGTTGTTTGCATAGAGAGGCTCTAAGTCAGTGAAGAGTGTGCGGATCAGAAGGGGGGGCATCCACTGTGTAGACATGGATTTTAGAATGGATTTAGACAGATATGAATTAAACGTGCACGGTCAAAACTTCACTGTAGGTTTAATCTAAACACGTACACTGATGGAAGAGATATTTGATATTCACACAATCCAGATGATTTGGAAAAAAAAACTGCAATAGGCCTCAACTAAAAGAATCCAGGCATTCACTGAGTACGACGGCGATGAAGAATCTGAAAATGAACAGTAGGCCTACAGTGCAGCCAAACAGCACTTCAAATTTGCGATCTCAAGACTGTTGGTCAATCTTAATTAATTAATTAATTAGTCACCACTTCTGTTCCTCAACACACACAATGATGTAGAAAATATTCACATAATCCAGATGACTTGAAAAGCAAACTGCATTAGGCAGAAATAATCCAGTGTCAAAGCATGAGAAAACAACAATTCAAACTGACCGCCGCACCCTGCGTAGGCTTATCACTACTAATGATCTACAAGGTTGTGGGCTTACTACACGGGTGTGTCAGCCCACAAGGAATCTAGGTCAGTAGCGCGCAGGTGGCCTGATTATATGACCGTCTAGGCAAAGGTGCATAAAAATAGAAAAATAGAGAGAAGGCCGCAGCAATCATGATTGGGTTGTGCTATTGAGTCAAACAGGAGATTTCTAGCATGGGTCTCAAAATTCTGTGAATCTAATTCGCTGGATGTAAGATACTGTACTGTGTAATGTCTTTGTAGGGAAGACAAACCAGTTTGCTGTAAATCAAATATTTTCCCGGTTTATCAGTGTAGTCATAATATTGGATCTATATTGCATATTATTTTGTACCTCCTAATATCATATATATTATGATTGTGTGACATAAGTCAAGCTCTTCTGATAGCGTAGGCCAAGAAGACCTTTCTGTCTCTTGCTCTTTCACTCTCCATCAGCTCCTCTCTCTTGTGTCCTTAGGATGTAAAACAGTACCTTTACTGTTTCAGTTATTGGTGGTTGGCAGGTACTTTGTTGTTGATCCCTCTTTTCTATCAAACATCTGTCGTCCTCATCTCTCCTTTTTTGTATGTTACTCTTAAGTAACTCCTCTAATCTTAAGCACTTACACGATGTATTTATGTTGCAAATTCTGTAAAACTCTTACTAAAACTTTTAGCTAAAGAGTTACAATTGTGTCACTCACGCTGTGCATTTCCCCTCACAGTTATGGAGGTGAGTGTGCTGGACACTGGCACAAGTCAAAGGGATGTGGTCTTCCCCTCCAGCTCTAGCCTGGCGCACACTCCGTGGTCCACATCGTCTGACTCCATCACACTCACCCGCGACAGCGTCAGGGAAGCTGGTGGCACAGGTAGGTTTTTCTTGGTGGTATTAGAATAAAAGACACTTTCAAAATATTTTTACTGAAACAAAAGAAGGAAAACACACTTTAAAACAAAAATTTAACTTAACAAAAGTATGTTGTATTACAACATGTTAACAAAGAACCCACTTTCATGGTGTGTTTTTTTAATGAGACCTAAAGAATATGTTGTAAATGCTACACATGTAATTATGTTATGGAGAAAAAAATTTATATTATCAATCCAATCTGAAAAGATTACAAAAGTATTAAAAAAACAGATTCTCCTTGGATTGTCCAAGGGTATGCAGTGATTCTCAGACTTTGTGTCTGATACAACTTGATTTGAGTTTCACTTTTACTTTGGTCTGCATGTTGGCAAGTTTTTCTAGCAGAGTAAACAGTTCATTAATGCCTGTTATTTTTTTTAGTTAATAACTGTTTTATTTCCCTCTTCCTTCTCCCTTTCCCTGATGAACTGCATTGAGATGTATGTTCCTTCATTCATTCAGCTCCAGCCGGCATCTGCTTCTCCTACTCCAACTCTTACTCCTTCTCCCCTTACTCCTCCCCCTCCTCCTCTTCTTCTTTTTCATTCTTTGTATGCCAAGTCTTGACCGGACGTCAGCAGTCACATTTCATCACTTATTTTTCTGCTGGGATGTTCTAAAAAAAATCTAGATTCTATATTATATTGTCGCTGTCTTTCGATGTTCAAGTTTTCTAAGTAAGTCATTTTGTGGGTGGTTGGTGAGTGGTCTGGTGTGGTTTGCACCTTCTTTTCTGTCAAACAGCAATTATCCCTTATCTTCCCTTGTTCTTTTTGTGTTTGTTACTCTCTTGTATTGCCTCTTGTCTTCTGCACTTATATGACCTAATTGTGTTGCAGGTGCTGTGAAACGCTTACTTATACAATAATTAAAGTCATTCTAACAACAATGTCTAATCTGTCTGTTTTCAGGGCGTCTAAACGTCGTATTCAGCATCTACCGCAACATGAATGAGCTCATCCAACCAGAGGACAACAAACTTCCCAGCATGCCCTCTGACCCCGACTTTAATTCGGGCACCATCAGAGATAGCGAGAAGGATGGGAAGAGACGACAACCCAGCGTCATCGTCAACACCAACATTATCTCTGCGTCCGTCCATGGGCGCAGGCCGGGGATGCGTTTGGCCGATCCAGTCAGATTTACTTTGCACCATTTACAGGTGAGGATGGAAGAAAAAAAGCTTGTAATTATTCCTGTACCACATTAGTAAGACGAGATGATGAGATGATGTTCAGCTTTGACGGAGTGGGTGGTTGGCAGGCATTCTGGTGTTGTTTGCTCCTTCTTCCTGTCAAACATTTATCATCTTTATCTTTCCACCTTCTTTTTTTCTTTGTATGTTTATTGTCTAGTAACACCTCTAAACTTCAACACTATATGACATATTTGAGTTGCAAATGCCATACAACTCTTACTTAGAATAAAACTTACGTAAAACTAAGCTTTGTGTGAGAGTAATAAATATCAATGGAAATGGCCAATCTTCTTTGTTCTTTTTAAGTTTTTGAGAGCAAAAATAAAACTTGTCATTTGAACGGGTCATTTTCTTACCTGAATTTACCCAAATGTTCCTATTTCTTCTTCCATTCAGCCCAACAATGAAGCCGTACCAGCCTGCTCCTTCTGGGATGTGGATCAAAGGTAAACATTGCAACTATGTCATTGATGATCAATCTTTTGTTTTGTCCATAAATCACTATCTGTTTGCTTGAGGGCACCACTAGTAGCTCCTACTTTTTCTCTGTTCCACTGTTGTTTCTGTCTGTCTGTCTGTCTTTTTAGTTTATCTGTCTGTCTGTCTAATTTTTCCATCACACAATGTAACTTTTTATGTGTCAACATCTCGTATTTTTTTCTCTTCCTTTTTTGTTTCTGCCTGTTAGTCTATCTGCCTGTGTGTCTTACTTTTTCATCTCACTCCATATATTTTAAAGTGTCAATGTTCTTGTTATTCACGCAAACCCTTTAAGTGGGTGGTTTGGTTCTTTTTTCCTATGAAACATCTGTCATCCTTATCTCTCCTTCTTTTTTATGTTAATTACTCTCTTGTAACACCTCTAATCTTCTGGCGCTCTTATAACAAAACCTCTACTAAAACTAAGCTAAACCCTTTAAAATTCTTCCCTTGTAAAATAACACTGAGCCTTCTGTATTTCAGTGCTAAGAGTGGACGCTGGTCACAGGATGGTTGTCGTATGCTGGATACGAACTTAACACACACCACATGTGAGTGTGATCATCTGACCAACTTTGCCGTGCTCATGGATATCTCAGGGACAGAGGTGAGTGATCAACTGAATAAAAGCAGAAAGGCTCATAGTATCCCATTTTGGTCATGAATTTCCCTTCAAGATGTTTAAACAGTTCAGGGTAATATGCGTGTTTTGAGGTCATCTGAATCTGAACTGTGGAATGAACGGCTATTAGGGATTGCCAACATTTGTCTCAGATATTGCACGTGAAACAGAAGATAAAAATTTTTTTTTTAATTGTTAAAATCTGGTTTTTTTGTAGAGACTGCAACTGGAAAATACGTTTTCTAGCTTTTTATTTCTAAAGTTATTTGTTTACCAGTATTCTATTCTGACTTAATTCCTTCCTTAATGTGTGGTTATATGGATTTGACATTGTTAATTATATGACTAAACATTGCTATTTATTAACTTGGTTTACTTTTTCATTAATTTAGGAAGATAATATCATTACTATCATTTCTTTCTTTCTTTTCAATAAAAATTTACAAAATCTACATTATTAGCTCACAACTGGGACTTGAAATGAATGGAAGTGTAAAGTCATTAAGACAGTAGATTTTCCTGTCTTTGCTTTCTGCACATCTTTTTGCTTCTAGATATGTGATTTTGATTGGTTCTCGAACAGAATCATCAGACTGCAGAAAACACTGAGCAAGAAAGCGACAGATTCTATTCCGTCTGAGGTTTGAATCTTAGTCTTCGACTGATCACTCTTCTAGCATAAAATGAAACAAAAAAATGTTTACCTTTTTTGTCCTGTGCAGCTGTCGAGAGATGCTGAGCTGGGCCTGATCTGGGTGACCTACATCGGCTGTGCCCTGTCCATCATCTGCCTGCTCCTGGCCTGGATCACGTTCACCGTGTTCAAGTGAGTTGTGTGGAGTGTGAACCGTCTCTGAGGTGCCAATGTTCCAGATAGATTCATAAATCAGTATTCCTGAAATTGCCAGGATTTTGCCCAGCTTCTTGATACAATATTAAGATATATATTAAGTAATATGATCGATACATTTTGTGTCCCCATGCACATGCTTTCGCTAGGCCTGAACAGTTAAGGATTTTTTTTTCGTAGACAATTGGCACCTCCGCAGCTTCTCAGGTCTAGGGATTGGGGCTGTTGGTGGGATGACTGCTGTGACCAGTCGTCAAAATGCCTCTAGTTGAACAAGATAAAACAAGGTTAATGGTAGATTCAGACATAGAATTATGAAAATAGAAAATTGTGACTGAAGCCTTTTTACACAGCACTGTTCAAATGTTTATATACCATTATATGTGGATGAGTTGACATTTTTTTTCAAAAACTTTTCTCCCCAGAAATCTTCAGTGTGATCGCAACACCATCCACAAGAACCTGGTGCTCACCCTGATGTTGGCCGAGCTTGTCTTTTTGGCAGGAATAGCTCAGGTGGAGCATAAGGTGAGTGAAGTGGCCCACAAAGACATACGCTTACGTACAGGGACACATTGGTGTGGGAGTCTTTCTGATTGTGTTTGCTTTAAAGTTTAAAAAAGAATTTATGGAGTACTGCTGCAAGGGTTGTTTCTTTTGCTTTTTTTCTTTCGTCTTACTTTTGTCCACGATTCCTTCACTTTGATTATTTAGGCCTACATTCCAAATAAACGTCTACGATATCTTACATCTTTGTACAGAATGAGCTAAACGCTCTCTGAATTGAGGCCCTTCAGCCGAGACAAATGACCTATAATTATCGGAACGTTTGTGCATTAAAACTTCAAGACTCAACATTTACCAACGGTGATTTGTGCGTGTATTTGCAGATTCTGTGCTCCATCATCGCGGGTGTTCTGCACTTCCTGTTCCTTTCAGCCTTCGCCTGGATGTGCCTGGAAGGAGTTCAGCTTTACGTTATGTTAGTGGAGGTTTTTGAACAGGAGCGTTCGCGTCTGCCGTGGTACTACCTCTTTGGATATGGTGAGTACTCCATAGAGATCATACTGTCCCTCTACTTAACATTATGCTACCCTAGAATTACAAAGTCTTATCTGCTTAGTACCTAGTTTTGAGAAATTTGACATGAAAAATTTTTAGGTTCACAACATGTCAAACCTTTTGGAATGCAGTTCTTTGAATATATTGATAATGACTCTGTACAATCATACGGTTTCCATAGAGCAGATAGAACTTATGGTTTCTCATCTCATGGTCTTAGTGACTTAAAAAGGCCAAAAGTGTCAAATAGAACTTTGCAGTTCTAAGGTAGCAACACGGGTGCAACATTAGCTCTGTTGGTATTGTCATGCTGGATGGTGGTGCGGAAAAGCATGGTTTGAATCTTCAGTTGTGTGTTCTTGAACTTACATAGTTTGTCAGGATATTAGAGGGTCTCCAATTTCTTGGTTTGGCTTTATCGGACATGGATGTAGATGAAAGCCAGGCCAAATTCCAGAGACAGAGAAGGCAAATTATACAACTATCATGTGGTGTTGATGTCCTTGCAGAACAGCAATAGACAATGAGCAAATTTAAGAATTGCATGTTCCCTTCTACCTATAAATTTCAAATTTTTTAATGAAAAAGTAAGAACATTTCAAAATGTTCTTATATTATCACAAAGGAGAGAAAACTTTTCTTTTAAACCTTGTTAGATTTTATGCTGATCCAAGCTAATTATCGTATATCAGTTGAAGACTGCATGGAACAAACTGGTGATATCACACTATAGATTCAGAGAATTTCTGTCTTGTATAAAGTTCTTTAAAATTTTCATCTTCAACACAGAGGTTATTTTAGACAGGTTTCATCTGTTTATGCCATCATTGTATTGCACAGCAGGGATGTGAAGGAAGGGACATTGATTTTGGAAACCACCGGCTTCCCATGTTAATAATGTTTATTTTTCAACAAGAGTGTGTGACTTGTACATCCTCAGGTACCCCAGTGATCATTGTAGCAGTTTCAGCGGGTGTTAACTACCAGGGTTATGGCACAGACAAACAGTAAGCTTTTTTAAACTGATATGGATTATCTGTTCACAAAATCTTGCCATTCTTACAGCATGAGCCTCTCTGTAACCTGTTATAATATGAAATAATTAATTTTTTGAATAAGTTTATTGCTTTAATGTTTTAACATTGATTAAGAATATCATTTTCCTACTTTATTTTGTCCCTGATAAAAATGTCATTTTCCCTCTTCGTGTTGTCATTGATGAAAATGTCATTTTCCCACTTTGTTTTGTCATTGATAATAAAAAACAAAGTTTGGGGAAAATGACATTCTTATCAATGACAACACAAAGTGACATTTTCAATTGGGTTTCCAAATGTACCGGTGCCTGTTCTTCTGTAGAGAGTCTCCATCTCATTTTTTGTTTGTGTCCACAGCTGCTGGCTGAGCACTGAGAACCATTTCATCTGGAGCTTTGTGGGACCTGTGTTGGTGGTCATGCTGGTCAGTGCTGAGAGAGTGTGTGTGTGTGTGTGTGTGTATGTGTGTGTGTGTGTGTGTGTGTTTGTGCATCTGGGTGGTTGTGTGCATGTGTGTACGTGTGTCTGTGTCTGTGTGTGTGGACCTGCTTGTTTGTGTTTGTGTGTGTGTGTGTGGGGGGGGGGGGGGGGGGGGGGTTATGTTGTTATGTATGTATGTGTGTCTGTGTGTGTGCTTGTATTTATTTGTGTGTGTTGGAATGTGTGTCTATGTGTGGGTTTGTGGAGTTGAAAAGGATGTGGGGGTTGCTAGAAGCCGAGAAAGTTACTAACCCCCTGGTAATGAAACACACCGGACTGTTTTATCACATTTTGAAGAGAAAGTCCCTTTGAGCCATTTTTTATTCAAACATTTAGCTCCCCCCGGGGTAATGCCACTGACTGTAGTGTCTTTATGCCATTCCCAAAGGGGGGACATTTCTCGTTCAAGCACAGTAGAATTGTAAATGGGCTGATTCATCATGTCATGCTCATAACTGTGCCTGATCTACAACAGGGAACTGCTGCTTTTTCTTTCCTAATCCTTACTATTGTCATTTTTCCTCTACTTCTTTTGTATGTTTGTCACTCTCTTGTGACCTGCTATTTTTTAGGTGCCTTGATAGTCAAAGTAGACCTTGTGCTGTTGAAGCTAGAGAGGTGAGCAGAATAAGTCTGATTCCCTGTAAAGACTTCTCTGTTGACACTTGACACCCACCCCTTGGCTCTCATATGACCTTATGCAGTTGCGAGCGCCGTAAAACCCTCTACTATATATATTTACATTTAGCTAAGTAAAGACTGGATCCTGTGAGCTATCCTTTGTATGACTAGCAATCTCCCACATCCTCTTTTGTTACTGATGATGACTTAAGCCGCATGAATGACGTAGCTTTGCCTGGCTAGTACACATAGAGAAAATAGAGTGCCCAAGTACTACTTTTCTCCCTTCAGATGTTGACTTCCTTGATATGCCCATGAGATGATACATAATCTATACTTTTGGAATCCAAAAACCAAAGATAACAAATTGTTGTTTTTTTTAATCTGTGTCACAGGTGAACATCGTCATGCTCGGTATTGCCATCTACATCATGTGTCGACACTCTAACATGTCCGCCACCATGAAAGAAAGGTCAAAGGTTACCAAATTTAGGTCAGTGCTTGTTGTATCAGTTTCACATCTTGAAATGATATTGTTCAAAATTGCTTCTCTTAGAAAAGGGAGGATTTTTCTCAGGATGACAGAGAAAAGGTTTCAAGTGCGAGGTATAATGGAACCTGCTCTAATAGCCACCTGTTCAAGACAGTCACCTGTACAGATGTCTACTTCCTATATCCCTTCATTTGTTTTTTAATGTTATAACGACACGGTTCAAGACATCCACCTGTCTAAAACAATGAACTTTTCTACTTGACAACGAATGGCCGGCTTTGACAATTTCGGCTGTATTAGAGTTTGCAAGCTGGATCTTCTGTCTCAGACGTCAAAACGAAAAGAATACAAATTCAAGTTCTGTTTTTCGAAGATAAAGAAACATAGAAAAAGTTTTGAGTTACAAAAAGCTAGATCTAGTCTTGTTGAGGTACACAGAGAACGCAAGACATTTTGAGAAAATTATTTTTACTTCTGCTTTTTTGCCCAGGCTAGCTTTTTGTAGCTTAAAAGTGTTCTCTATGTTCTTGGCCATAGCCTGGCAAGATAAACTCGTTTCTTCTGTGCAGCTTTTTTTCTCTTTTATGCCTTGTTCTCTCCCCTCTCAATGAGCTTCTGTAGTCCTCGAATGAGTAAATGGAAATTCAAAAACATTTTGATTAACCCCTTCCTTGCCTGACCTGAGACTGCATAAGCTCAGGCTGGGGAGAGAAGGGGTTAAGGATGGTGAGTATCCAGGAAGGTTATCATTCATGTGCTGTTTTTTTCCTTTATACATTTCTTGCTTTGTCTCTCTTTCTCTCTCTCTCTCTTTATCTGTTCAAGTCACTCTTTTCAACAGCTTCTGTATTCTTTATAGAGATATTGTAAGAGACAAGTAAAACGTGACCTGTATTTTGTAATTGTTCTTCTTTTTACTTATCCAGAGTTGATGATAAAATTGTTCTCAAGTTTCATATTTTAGAACAAAATTTTGCTTTGTTTGAAGGGAGATGCTCCTTAAAAAGAAATAAAGGGGAAAAGACTGCTTCATTCTTTTCCACTGACAAATTTCATGTACACATATACTATAACTTAAAACATGTAAAGATATAAAAGCTTATTTGATTTAGCAGTTCTGGAAATAAAAAGTCAGTGATACATTAAATGCAAAAAGAAATTAGATTGATGATGGGGAAGTCAAAAAACAAACAAACAGCAGCTCTGGTCTCTCCAGTAGTAGTACTCATGGGCATCTAGACCATAAGTCCAGATTTCTGCAAATACTGACCTTGACCCTGTTCCTCCCGTGCAGCGTCTCAGACAGTCTGGGCAGCGTGGAGACCTTCGCTCCGCCAAGACTTAGGTTCCCAGATTTGCCGTAAGAGTTTCCGCCCGCTCCTGTTCTTCCCACTATTGCTGTTGTGATTAAGGAATGATTTTCACTGCTTGATTTGTTTCACAAGATGCCTGGATGCATTTGGATGTTTTGTTTTCTTTGTTTTCTCCGTTTTGAAAAGTCTTTTTGTACTTTTCAACTTTCCTTTTGTTGTCTTTTTTATTTTGATGACTTGGAAGATTTGCAGAGTTTTGTTTTATTCTATTTTGTTCTTTTGCACTTTGCATGTTTTGTTGGTCATCACCACTTTTTCCTTTAGTTACATCTGACCTTTATCATTTATGTTCTCAAGTACTGCCCTTCCTACCTTTTTGTCAGACACTTCTTGAAACTTAACTTTCATTTTATGGTTTGCTGCAACAGTCTTTAAAACTGCTTGACTTTTTCTGATCCACTTTGTTGGGACAGTCAAGAACGATATTGACAGTCTTGAAAATATCCTGGCCAGGAGCTTCCTGCAACAAGATAGGATTAGTTCATATAAAGACTGAGGTGGAAATTGCTGTCGAGAAAAAATGTGATCAAAGTTGTGTAAGAAAGAAATTAACAGCAATCCTTGGTAAAGAATTATAGTTCTAGCTCGTGTTCTTTATCAAGGTAACAGTTTATCATCTTGTCAAAGTCCTCATCATAATAACGGAATATAGTTATTTAGGGTTACTGAAATAAGGTTCCTGAAAAGATTAATGAGAATATCATCCAAGGAAAAGTTTACACGAGAAAAGATGTATGTTGTTGTTGTTGTTGTTGTTGTTGTTGTTATTTCAATAGCTTTTGTGTGTGCCCTTTTGCCCCACTACCATTTTAAAAAAGGTGAAGGTCTTTGATATTTTGATGAAATTTCTGGATAGAGGAACGAATGTTATGCCTTTTTATTTTTTGTTCATTACCATTCTGGCTGACTTAAATTTGAAAACTGCGGCACAACCACAACTACTGTGCAGTCTTTGCCTGGATTTCTCTGTGTCTGTGTCATCTCTACAACTGTCGGGGTCTGACACCAGCACAAAACTGGACCTGTTGCTATTTAATGGGAACTTTTATGATGGGAAAATGACACGAGATGCTTTATGTGATGTCAATGCTCTAGTGGTAAGACAGTTGGGCTCGTAACTGAAAGATTGCGCATACGAACCTCATTAGGGGCTACTCATTATGTCCACAGGAAAGGCTCTTTACATTTATTTTTCTCGCTTTACCCTGGTGCAAACACATGCCCAGCTATAAACAATGAAATATCTTGTCAGATGTTGGTGTTTAAATACTTAATCGGCTGTTTGCACTGCACACTTCCCGGGAAGCAGAGAACGTCTCTGAGTGTTCTAGGGTCTGCTGGGATAAGAGTATAGATTGTAAAGTGCTTACAGCTTGCTGTCAGAGAGGATATGCTACACACAGTAGGCTTATGCTATTTATTACTATCATTAAATTCTTGTTAAATGAAAAGGTTGAAGTGTGAAATAAAAGACCTATGTCCTCTCTGATCGAAATCTACTCTGCACGCCTGCCTTCACAAAAGTCCTCCACAGGTTGTTGGGTTTGGGTTGTTTTTTTTCAGAATGAGATTCTTTGGTTACGGCATTCATTTCTGTGTACAGTGAACCTTTCCCTGCACTATTTTTCAAATGCATTTTGCACTTTGACCTGATGTATAGTACATCAACCCACATTCGAACTTTCACCCACAGTGTTTCCCTGCATGGTGATGAATTGATTCTGTGTCCACTTCATTAGGAACATAATCTTTTTCATGATTGTCCTGTATCAGTTGATATTCACCATGTTCTGTTATGTTATTTCAGACTTTGCTAATGTTATTAAAGGATTCTTCGGTTTTAAAGTTTGTGTCTGTGATGTAAGGGTTAGACTCTGCTCCACCATACGCAGAAGAATTGAGTTCGATTTCCAAGTGGGAATGTTTTTGCATTAAGTACTTCAATCTGCTAGGGTTCTGTTTCTCACTCAGCCCAGTTAGACCTTGGCAGGCAGGGTAGGAACAGCCTGTGGGTGGTTTAAAGTTGTCGGGTGTGGCCTGCTCTTTTTTTCCTATCAAACATCTATCATCCTTATCACCCTGTTTCTTTTTTGTGTTCGTTTCTCTCTTGTAACTCCTCTTCTCTTCAGACTTATATAATCTTATTATGCTGCAAGTGCCATAAAGCTCTTACTAAAACTGAAACAACCCACATCTTACATTATATAAATTGTGTTAGTGGGGTAGAAAAAAATTTGCTATTGTAATTTTTTAAAATTTAGTGCTTGTATCGTGTGAGGTGGAGGGATTATTTGCTTTTACAATTCAGTTGTAATTGCCAGCATGTATGGTTTAATGTCTAATAATTTTTTTTCTTTTTAGTGATAATAAAGTCGTGAATATAGTAGTCTAGCTAAGATCTTTAATATTGAAAGTGGGATTGTTAATACAACATATTGACCTAACCAAGTGTAATAACGTCTAGGCAACAGAAGATTAGTTATGCAAATACATTGATCCCCGTTTTGTGTTGAGCAGGGTGCACAGCACATTCACAACTCAAAGCTCTCGTATTTATTTGTGTCTTCTAATCACTCTTCCCATGTTTAATTTGTTGTTCCTTCTGACTACCTTGTGAGTAAGTGAACATTCACTATTTTCAATCACTAATCAGTACCCAATGTGCTAGTGGGTGTTCACAAATCACAATCACTCGTCAGTATTGTGAATGTCACTGTTAACTAACCACTGCATGTATCCACTAATCACAATGCAGTCAGATATTTTGTGCCCCTAACCTCTAACCTCAGTGCTATTGTGTTCTCTGATCCTAATCACAGTCCTATTTTCATTTTGTGTTTGCTTCCAGTGACTCTGTGCATCTCACAGGTGACTGGAAGATGTTGTGTGTAGCTTTTGCTTCTGTCTTATCTTATCATTCCTTCTGTCTGTCACAATACTTTTAAAACAACTATCACAGTGTCGACTGACTTTTCTTAGTTCAACGAATTTTCTGTCAGTAAAGGTTGAAAAGCTTTGCACTGGGGTTTGTTAAGCTTTCCATAGACTACACCTGAACGAAGACAAAGCATAATTATAGTGTGTGTATTACACACACACACACACACACACACACACACACACACACACACACACACACACACACACACACACACACACACACACACACACTTTGTGTAATCACATCCTGTCACATCTTATTTCACACATATGTCCAGTTGCACACACATGTCGCATTACATACACATCCCATTATACATGATACATCCAAATGGTGGGTGCTTGGTGGGTGCTGTGGTGTGGTTTGCTTCTTCTTTCCTATGAAACATCTATCGTCTTTATCTCCACTTCTTCTGTTTTATGTTTGTTTCTCTCTTGCAACACCTCTAATCTTCTGGCCCTCATATGACCTTATGCAGTTGCGAGCACCGTACAACCTCTACTAAAACTTTTTAAAAATACCTCCAATGCATCCCATTACACACTGACGTTGGACATGCTTAACGAGGTATCTACCTATGTCTGTGTTGCAGGGCGTGGGTGAAGGGCGCAGTGGTACTGATGGTGCTGCTGGGTGTGACGTGGCTGGTGGGTCTCCTCTTCCTGAACAAACACATGGTGGTCATGGCTTACCTGTTCACCATCCTCAACTCTCTGCAGGGACTCTTTATCTTCCTCTTCCACTGCATCATGAATGAAAAGGTGAGGCCTTTATCTCCGAGGGGGTGGGTGGGGGGGAACCTACTGTGCCAGGGCCTTCTTTAAGTAAGAAATCTAAAAGTGACAAATACGTCTATAAATCTGTCATTAAATCAAAATAAATGAACATATTTTGATAGTTTTTCATCTTATGAAAGGACTCCCAGTTAAAGAGACCTGTTTTCAGCTTTTGCCAAAAACTAATTTGGCATCAAAGTCATCAAAAATTAATGTACCCTCAATGGCTCACCAGCACAATGATTCTGACCTGCTGGGAGTGGCTTGCCAGAGATAATGAGTTAAAAAACTTTAACATCTCTTATTTCAAGTAAATGAACTGATACTGAAATGGGAGATAATTTACTGTGCCTGCAGTTTTATTTTTTAAATATTTGTAGATTTTTTAGTTTTTGTCTATCTGTCTGTCTGTCTTGTCTTACTCTTTCCCAGCTCTAAATACCGTAAATAACTGTTATTGTGTCAGTGCTCTCCTGTTTACTCTAACAAATTACCAAGTTGTGTTTATCTCCCCATTGTCAGGTTCAAAAAGAGTACCGCAAGGTGGCTCGCAGAACCTCCTGGCTGCCAGATTGTATCCGAATCAACTATGGCGGCTATAACGGAGGGGCCACCACTTCCCCTAATGCCTCCTCTGGCTCTGGAAATGTGAGTAGATTGCAGATTTTTATCTCGTTGAGATTACAACATATTATCAGTAGCGTAAGATGTATGAGGTGGGATATGAAATAGATTAAAATTGCTTCATACTTTTTGCCGAGGGGGGGGGAGGAGTGGGATGGTTTTCTCCATACTGACAATAGGAAATGAAAAAATGAACACTTTGATTTTGTGATTGTTTGCTACATTTATATTGGTTTGATTGTTGGGGTAGAGTTGAAATTGTCCAAGACGACCACCCTTTATCGAGAAGAAAAGTGGTTGTCTTGGACAGTGGGGATGATATGAAATAATACAAGAGGAGGCATGGGAAGTGTTCATTTGGTGAGTTTGAGGGGGGAGGGGGGGGGGAGAAGAAGAATGAAATACTTTACTTCTACTCCTTCACTGATCTTTCCTAGCTTGTTTTCTTCACATGCACCACATTTCAGGCTGACTTTATGTTTTTCTCTTCAGTTCCTTTCGCGACTTTTTGGCCAAGGCCGTAAGCAGTCGGCCGCTTCTACCAACAGCTCTGCCAGACCCTTCCTGCAGAAAGGTGAGCTTGTCTCTGAGATTGTCTATGATTTGTGGAGGGGGAGGGAGAGGAGGGGAAGGAGGAGGGTAGCTCAATATTAGCCCTTTTGGGAACTGTCTTTCTTATAAGACTTCTTAGTCTCCTATTTTGAGTAAATAAACTAATACTGAAGGGAGAGGGGATTTACTGTGCTTTTAATAATAGATTCTTGGAAAAAATTAAGACGTAAATTTCTCCTGCTTGCGAAACTCGTAATCACACAACATAAGAAAACTAAGAAGAGCTGTTTTTACAGTCCACCTTTTTCAGCATGAGCAAAAGGGAACTGTTAAGTCCAAATACATCCTTCTTTTAGAATTGCTTTCCCTTTCGAGAGGAAAAACTTATAAAAGACTTATTGTTTGTTATATTATTTTAGAAATATCATAATTTTAAAATGAATATTTATAAAAAGATTTTTTAGGAACATATAGAAACTTATAAAAGACTATTAGTTTGAAAATTTGGTAAAGACTTTTCAATTCTTTATTTATTTTTCCTTTGTGTTACCGCTCGTCACAAACTGTCATCTAATTTACCTTTTCACCTTTTCTCTCACCAGATGCTCACCTGCGCAGTGATGGAGAGAATTCATCCAGCAGAGACAACAGCACGGCCCCCTCCTCCCTCAACGGCTACGTGTACAACCCACAGATGTACTCCAACGGACACTCCAAAGCCCCGCTACTAATGAACAACAACGGCGGTGTCAAGGGAAGTAACAACGGACAGCTTCTCACCCCTTGCTACGAGACGCTGGATGGAGTCGCTGGGGATTTGTCGGAGTATTTGGAGTGCTCTGTGGTGAATTCAGAGTTTGTGTCTGAATATTGTCAGGACAACATGCAGGTAAATGAAGATTGTTGGTGGTTGGTGGATGCTCTGGTGTGGTTGACTCCTTATTTCCTATTAAAAAATGTAACATCTATATCCCTCCTCCTTTTTTTGTATGTTATTCTCAAGATGGTGTGGTGGTGGAGCAGTTAGTGTGTTCGTCTCCGAAGCGGAAAGCCCACCCAGCAGTAATGGGTACCTGACTTCGAGTTAGGGAAGTAAAGGTGGTATGGGAAGAAATTGGCCACCATACCACAATATGCTGAAGGCCCAGGAAGTTGTCGCACTAAAAAGGCAACCCCCAATATCCGGAGCGGATGCGGGAACAACTTTACTTTTACTCTCAAGTAGTAACACCCTAAGCTTTGACTCTTGTATGACTTTTGTTTGTGTTGCATGATACTGTAAAACTCACAACTTGAAAAAGTAAAACTAAATAAAAAATTTCATGTACGTGTTTATTTATATTCTATTTCTTTTCACAATTTTTGGAAAATAACTTAAGTTTCTTTTGGGCACTTTCTGCAGCTTATGTCAACTTTTTCTTACTCAATAAGTTTGTGCTTTTATTCAGGAAAGTTATTTTTTCACTTGAGGAACTGGGAGAGCTTATTATCTCTGCAGATCACATCAGTCAGGTCATACTGTTTCTTGTTCCTGTAAGACATAGTTGCAACTCTACTGTGACCCCCACAGTGACCCCAGATATTATGACTTATAAGTCAAGCAGTTTGAAATAGTGGGTTGGGGTTGGGGGAGCTATAATTTACTTTTACCAGTTTCTTCTGTGCGTGACATCCTTTGTATGATCTTCCCTTAGGTGAGTCAAGAACGGCGCCGATACTCTACTGGGTCTGAGGACAGCGAGATGATGTCATCACAGCTTCCTGTGCCGCACGTAATGGATCATGACAACCTGTCAAACTTGTCCGTGGCCTCAAGCACACGAAAGCCAGCCTCGTTTGCCATGACCTCTGACCTCGGTGACCATGCTGATCTAGACGATCCGAACTACGAGGAACCCTTGCCTGGAGACGGGCAGTTGGATCTTCTTCAGTATATCATCCCTGCGAAGAAACGGAATGGAGAGGAGGAGGATTCGGGATGCGACACCACTCAAGATCGGAGAACGAGAGTGTGTGTGGGGGAGAACAGACATTTATCCCCAGCAGCTGCCGCAGCCTCAGAAGGCAAGAGCTCAAGTCTAAATAAACTGACCAAACCCGCGGGCCTGTCCCTGTCTAGCATTCCCGAGACGACTGACCCCTCGTCGCCTCAACACTCCAGCACACCCAACCTTCAGTTTGTGCCGGGCTACGTTGCCCCTCTCCCCCACGCCACCAGCTCACCAATCACCAACGGCCCCCCTGACATGAGTTTGTTTCCCTCTGCCGTAGCGGCAGCTTGTCCCGTTGTGTCCAGCCCAGATTCTGACAAGTCCAGTCTGCCGAACCTGGCTGTTGATCCTCTGACCGTTGAGGTTACGGACAATGGAAGCCATGACAGTGACCACAAAAAAAGACATTCCTCGGGGGCAGATCTTCAGTTTAGTCCTTTCAAGTTCTCGTCATCTGACTGTTGAGATTGAGAAGAACTCATGTGTCCCTGTTATGTTGCGTCTTACAACTCAATCTGATGTTTGAAGATGAACAGAGTTGATTTTAAAATTCCAGTACGCTTTATCTGTTACTTGGCGACCAGTCACTGCCTGGGGGAAATGTGGTTGTTACCGTGACAACTGGCTGAAAACTACACAGCTACAGCTTGTGGAACTGTTACGATGTCATTTTTCCATAACTGTCTGGAAATAAAAAGGTTCCTAACCATATCGTCTATTGTACCACAGTTTGTCAAGGTTTTTTTAAACTGGCTTCATTTTTGGTTCGAGGGAATCTTTACCATTTTGTTGACACTTGCTTCTACAGGGAATTGAAGTACCATGTAGAGAGACAAATATGTAATCCGGACTTGAAGGGTATTCTTGACTAATTTGGAGCTTATATATGTCTTTACAGGTGTACAACAGATTTTTGTTTTTTAGTTCCGGGTTTTTTGGTGTGTTTTTTTTTGGGGGGGGGGGAGGGGGAGAGGGGGTTGTGTAATCAAAGGTTACATACAGTAAGAGAAAATAGGGGAAATCACTCGGGTAGGGTCCAAACTTTCTGAAGAAGGGTGAGCAAAATTCAGTCTTCGATTCTGTTATAAACAATTGAAGAGTGTTTTTTTGTAAAAGTAAGTTATGAATAAGGTTAAAGGACTAAACGTTGTCATCAGCTGTTGCTTCTAACGGTACAGAAAGATGCCGCATTATAGCTCCTCTCAGCCTGGTGGCTTAATTAGGGGACCAAGCTCTCTGCCTTCAAAATTGTTTATTTTGTGTTCATCAAAAATACAAAAGGAAAACACCCTGTCCATGTCTTAGGCCATGTGTCCACCAAAGCAGAACTGACCCAAGTTTTGTTGAGTTGGACAAAATCTGGTCTGCTCATTTCCAAGGCAGGAACAACGGCATAAACAATTTTTTAAAATTAAGTAAAGTTTAAGCTTGGACTCAGTTTATTTTGAGACAATAATATTATGACTTTAGATTTTTCATCAGAACTTTAAATAAACATTTTTTTTTGTGCTGATGAGTCACCAAATGACCCGACTTAAATGCTGCAAGTGGCATACCTATCAACCCATATTTGTTTGAAAAAAGTTTGTTATTTTGAAGGACACATCAAAATGGAATAATCCTTAGTTGCTAAGGAAAAAACTGGTGCTCTTTCTTAATTACTGATTTTCTAAGAGATGGACAACTTTTGGTCTGTTGGTTTCTGGCTTAGTGGACACGAGGGCTCAGTGTCTGTGTCACACATTCTCCTCTTCCCACCTGTGAGCCATCTGTTGCCTCTAAGACTGAGCCAATTCCGCAGTGTGGCAACTCATTCCAGCACTTGCTCCCTTCGCTCTCCGTTTTGTTCACATTCTAGTTTTTTAGCTTTTTTAAATTATTTTTTTTAGTGCCATCAGATGGCAGTCATGAATATGTTTTGTGCCATATGTTAAGATCATTTGCAATTTCAGAGTAATTATATTGTGTCTACTTTTCTGATATGTAATCTGTAGATTATGCTTGTTTAGAGTTGTGAGACACGAAAACGTTCTTGCTACTGTTTGCACTTTGCTTTATGTATTTTTCTCATTTCCTAAGTGAATAGCACTTAGCTTATGGTTTAGCTTTGTAAAATTTTGTCTTGCTTTAAATTACAAATTTTTTTTGTACATTTGGTTGTCTTTTGATTGTTACACTGGCCACAGTAGACTGTCGGAAGTAAGGGAACTTTCTGGTAATTCGTTTATGGATTATGATAAACTGTTTTGAGACAGTTTTTAAAAAATTGTTTTTTGGTTATAATAGAAACAGATTTTCCCCAATACCTTCAAAGGAGGCTGAAGGACATTTTATATTGCTAAATGAAACTTCACTAGTGAAATTCCTTTGCTTCTTACGATTAGTGCCCTAAAAAATGTTTTAAAATGGAGGGGAAAGTAATAATATGTTTAATGTTTTCTGAAAAGCTTTCTGCAAATTGGAGCTCTCATAGGTGTAGTTCTCTGTCTCATTTTTTTTTAGGTTTAGAGGGGTTTTTTTTGGAATATTCCCCTCAGAACATCATGCACTTGAAAATCATGAATCTTTTACCAATAGACTTAGTATCTTGACCATGCGATATAAATACCAAATAGCAAAAATCTTAGAGAAGTGGAAATTAGTTTTTTGCCTCTCCTGAAAAATTCCTTTTTGTGAACTTACAAGATTTGAGAATGACACTGATGCTATGTGCATGCTGTGCCATCAGTGAATTATACAGCATTATAGTCACATGAGCCTTCTTACAAGCAAGATAGTTGAAGTCAAGGATGATGTGTGGGTGTAGCGTTGCGACGTAGACGTTATAATCAAACTGTTTCTGAGACAGATATTTACATTTGAGTTGCATTTGGTAGTTGTTCCCTTCCCTCGGCTTCCTCACAGATCGCTGTGGTCAGTGTAGCAATAATGTTGCTGTTGTATATATCTCCTCCCTTCTCAAGAGTCATATTTGAACTCAAAAGGCACCCAGACCTGTCACTTGTGCTTGTGTAGGGAGGGTTAAGGGGGGATTGATCTATATGTGTCACGATGCGGTGGAATCAGGCGCTCGTCAATTTTGGGCCTTATGGAGTTATTGGTAGCATCTTAAAGCCTGTCGAGTTGCCGTGCTTCTGATGAAAAAAATATCTATTTATCTTGGATATAATAAGTCAAGATATTGGTGATAGAAGGAGGTGGGGGGTTGCCTGGTTTCGGAGGTAAGATTAGCGAGAAAATGGCCGCCACGTTGAGTTATTTTCTAAGCTTGAGAGTCCTTGGATACTGAAAATTTACATCTTTTATGCCTTTAATCAACGTTTTTCTGTAAAATCCACACAGAAATGTGTTCTTCAAAGGGCTTAAAAGGTGTTGAGCCAAAAAACAAAAATTCAATAAAAATTCCCGAACCTGCGGAAAAATGCCAGTTTCTTGATTTTTATTATTTTCACGAGCGCCTGATTTCACCACGCTGCCTCACTTATGCATTTTGACTGCTCAGTTTAAGACTCGGTCACACGTCACTTTTCGTAATGGTGTACAGTGGAGTCTAACTCTAAGGAGTTGATTTGCTTCTGTGATCTCTTTACCTCTCTTCTGTTCCAAGTTTTAAGCCTTCTTCAAATTTGTAGAAAGATTTTTGGGAGGCAATATATGTTTCTTCCTTTCTGAAAAAGAACTAAAGTCCTAACTAATATGTTTGGGTAATTTCAGTGTGATTTAAAAAGCCACTTCCTCACGTATGGTTTGAGATTATTCCCCATATAGTTTGTGATAATTGCGGCTCATGTGGGTCCTCATGCTAGTCATTGTTCAAGTAAGCAGTTAGTCGCCTCGTCTCTGCATCGCTCATGACTAAGAGGCTGGTTAAGATTACAGCGGAGGGATTTAAAGAAATTGGAGGAGCAGTTTCCCTTCAGTTTGGGGAAAGGAGTTTTGAGGAATGTTAGGGAGGGGGAGGGGCAAACAAATCAACAGAAAATAGATACATAAAAATTAGAAATAGAAAATGGAAGTGGATTAGACATACCTTAAGAAAACTGAAAGCAAACATCATCCACAAGGAAAAAGAAAGAAAGGTAAACCAGAGGAGGGACTTGAATTCAAAAGGTGATGGGATACAACTGGGCAGAGGCATAGACTATATCACCCAGGCAGGACAGAAGTATGTGAAGAGCTCTTGTTGGTGGCCTTTTCTCTAACACAGGGGGAGAAAGGCTGATGATAATGATAATGTAGTCACTGTGTGTCTTCTCAAATGTTCTGGTTCTCTATAATGACAGGTCTGGGTGCCACGCCCATCCTCCCCAGAGCCACCAAGCTCCTCCCCCTCCCACATATCTCATTCAACGGTTGTGACTTGTAACAAATCATTCCCTGAACTGGTTGTACACACCAGGTAGTGCCTGATGCTTCTGACCATCTCCGTCTCACAAACTCGACCGTCTGTCTGTTTTGTCCATCTGTTATATCTGTCCATCTGTTCCAGTTCTGTTTATGTTTGCCTTTGCTGTCAGGGATGAGCATTCTCAAAACTTTGTGTTGGTAAATAGATATTTAGAAATTTACATCCTGACTTTTTAGGCCTACTCTATGGTAATCTTTCACTACAATTTGTCAATTAATATTTTGCCACTTTGTTTTGTTTTCCTGGTCTGAAGGCTCTGGGCTATAAAAAGGAAATCCATCCCTGCCCTCACAAAGGACTGAAAGAGGGACCATTCTTTCCCTGATTATTTTAATAATTTAATTTTTTTAAATTTACATGGTATAAAGGGGGTTTGCATAAATCTAGTTTTCCCCACAAATAATTGCCACGGCCTCCATTAAAATCCCCCCCCCCCCTCTCTGGAAGGGTGGTGGGGTGTATGGCATGAATTTATTACATATTATCTATTGTCTATCTTAGGGTTCTTGACATTGTATACTCTTGTGAAAATGGGACCAAGACCTCCAATTGTTACATATGTAATTGAGAGTAAGGGGCGAGTGAGTGCTTTAAAAAATTTCTACTTTATTTCAATGGGGAAATTACTGATGAATTCCATCTGTTTTATGAATATCTATGATCCACCATGTTTGCATTCACCATAAACATGTCAGTACTATGAAACCATGCCTTCCAGCCTTGATCACTGAGCCTTCCATTTCTATTTTCGTGTGTGTGTGTGTGTGTGTGTCTGTGTGTGTGTGTGTGTGTGTGTATATCTGTGTGTGTGTGTGTTTTGAAAGGGGTCAGTTTGGGGGAGGTTGGGGGGGTGGGTGGGGGGGTGAATGGGGATAGATATTTTTCTCCAGTTATTTTATGTGGAAGTGTGTCTGTATGCATGAGAGATAATGTGTTTATTGCTGTGTGTGTGTGTGTGTGTCTGTGTGTGTGTGTGTGTGTGTGTGTATGTATGTTTGTGTTGTGTGTTCACCCATCCTTTATACCAGAGATGTACACTTATTATCTAGTGAATACATTGCATTGCATTGCTTACATTTACTTGCCTGAACAGGAAAACAAAGTATATGTAGCCTACCCGTACATCGTGTAAACAGTACGGCCACTGTGTGAGAGGGGGATGGTCAGGTAGTCTGTAATTTCGCTATTGCTTATGTATGTAAATGTTCTGCTTTCAAATTTTGAGTTTAAAAAAAAATCAACTAAACTTCTTCTTGTAATATATATAGTGCAGACACGGAATGAATTACAATTTGACTGATTC